AAATCCACAAACTAATAAAATGATTTATTATTTTGTATAAGGTTGTCTGTTGACTGTTGTATATAAAACCCATTCAATATAGTTGTTGTTACCTCAGGGGAGGCGGAAAAAAAATAGAGTACCGGCACCTCTTTTGGGCCACTTAAAGCACTGAATACGAACAATCCGTTTTTGGCAGGCGATCACTTTTTGGCACAACACCGGGATAAAAACTTCAGGTTTGTCCGAGTTCACTAAAGTAGCTCTCTTTCTACCTGTCTAAATCACAATGTTAACTTGGAGCAGGTTATGGTCAGAATTTCTGAAGCGCGATGTGTTTACAGAATTCGCTGCAAGTTTTAAACGCAAGATCCTCTGCTGAGGAAATATGTGATTTTGTTAAAATCGCCGTTTCTTACCTGCCAATAAATCACAGCATAAATGAAGCAACAAAAGTATCTTCATCTTTCCTTTATCCTTAATTTTAGAACGATCATTGCTCATGTTGCAGAAGTATAAACCGGAAATAAGTCCTTATTTAAACTTCTGCAGAGATTATGAAAACAGCCTGTACCAGCCTGTCTGCCGAAACCACTCCCAAAACACGAGCAGGCGAAGGGAGAAATGGTAGCGACAAGGAAGCCGGAAATGCATAAAAGGACACAGTAGGCCTCTTGTGCAACTTACTATGATTCCTATAATAACATACTAATAATAATTAAACTAATTTCTTTATATCATTTATTCATTGCTATTCTGTTTTCCTCCCTGTAGTAGTGTTATCTATGCGCTCAGTCTTTTCTGCCCTTTTTATCGCTTGATGTAGCAATGGCCAGTTTTTAGTTGATAAATAAAGGTTTAATTTTTTAATAAAGTAATCAGGACTCAATCACAGCCACTGTGAGCATTTCCTATTTTCTTTTTTTCTTTTTTTTATTTAACTCTCTTGATGACAAGAGCATTAATGGAAGAGCATATGAACTCATTTATAGTACAAAAAATAGAAAATAAAGTCTCAGATAGTTAAAGAGTTAATAAAAAAACATTTGGAAAATTACAGCAGACAAAGAAGATAAAGGAAATATGCTGCAACAGAATTTTAAAATTAATATTAACCGAGAATGTTATGTCTTGAATGTTGTCTGGGTGTCTGGTGCTTTCCTATAGATATTATCTAAGTATTCTTTGCTATTTGAGTGAATTAAAGTGTCTTTTTCTCACTGGATCAGAACATACATCCATCTTTGAAACAGTATTATCTTTACTCAAAAAAAAAAAAGATTACAAAATATTACACACAATTTGTGTTCCGAAAAGCAAGAAGCACTTAGTCCCTCAGTGCAAAATCAGAGCACCTGAAGGTGCTTTAGGTAAAAGCTCTACAATAATACAGAGAAAACCAACAGTCAGACATCCCCCTATGACCAAGCACTTGGTGACAGTAGGATAAAATGAAGGAAAACTTGTGGAGTGGACATAAAACACTACCTAGCCTAATTTACACCACGGAGCCTTCTCCCCCCAAAAATGTCACAAATGTAATACTTTCTGTGAGGCTGTGATTTAAAATACAATTTTTAGAGCATGGGCAGTGCCATCTTGTTAGAAAACAGAATATGACATTACTAGGTTGGCTGGTTGCTGATAGTAGTCCTACATTAGTCCAATAACTCTATGTTGTTGACTGCCCTGTAGACATCATTTGGGTTGAGATCTGGATTTTGAACACTGTAGTACTTTTGTGTTTCAGGTATTCTTTTGTTGATTTGTTGTAGCTCTTCTGAACTTCAGGATCACTGGAAGAAACTTAAATTTTAGTCAGTGCTGTCTGACTCTTTCCTACCACTACAAGACTGCTGTGTTTCAACCCTGAGCTTTAATCCAAAGAGCGATCAGTGGAGTGAGTCATCTGGCCGTCTATGTCATCTGCCAGGCCTCTTTTATAAATTCTTATCAGACTCTGTCTAAATCCCTCACTGACTTTTAGCCCCATGCAGAAGTATAACAGTGGGTTCACACAGCTGTTGAAGTAGGCAATACCCTTTGCTACAGGGAACCAGATTTTGAACAGAGCGTATTTACTGTCCACCATCTTCACCAGTAAGAGGCAGTGGTAAGGCGCCCAGCACAGGAAGAAGGCAATGACCAAACATGCTAGTATACGTAGAGGGCGGGTCTTCCCTGACAGGCGGGTGCGTCGGATTCCCACAGCGGCCAAGATATAACAGACCAGAATCACCATAAAGGGAATTATGAAGCCGCACAGGAAGCGGATGGAGTAGAGAGCAACTTTGGTGCTGTTGTACCCCTCTGCCTTCTCTTTTGGATGAAGTGAGCACATACTCAGGTTCTTCTTGCCCAGATAGACTTGGCGATGGATGAAGTAAGGAATGCTGAAGAGGATCGCTGCTATCCAGATACAGACCGCCACCACCCTCGCTGCCCACAGGGTGCGACGACGCTTTGTGAGAACAGGTTGACAGACACAAAGCACTCGATCCAGACTGATCACAGCCAGCAAAAAGACAGAGCAGAACATGTTGGTGTATTTGAAGAAGGCATCGAACTTGCAGACGAAGAGGCCGAAAGGCCAGTGCTCAAAGAAGAGCTTCTTAGTGAGAGAAAAAACTCGTGTGAAGCAGAAGATCAGGTCTGCTATCGCCAGATTCACCAGCCACACGTTGGTGACCTTTGGCTGTGGATGAAGAAGAAAATAAAACACGATGGAAAAGTGAAGAAAGGAAAAACAAACATGAAAGGTAATATTTACGTGAAACAGTAACCAGAATGGGATTTTATCAGCTATTATGAGGTCCTATTTATATAAATGTTGCTACTAAACATAATCCTCTACCTTATTTCAGGCTCAGTCGTCTTAAACTAGTCCAAACGCTAAACAAGTGCCTTTTGTACATAAACTTAACTTAACTTGATAAACGTAATCACATCGCTCTTGAAATAGAAACATCATAACAGAAATTAAGTTCAAAACAGTCTTCTAATTTATGTGTCACACTTCAGAGTGTGGGGAGTTTTGTTGGTATTTCACCTTGGAAACACCATCCATTACTAATTCTGTTCATCTGTGTGAAATGAATGTGGTGATAACCACCTCCCAGTAGGTGAAAGAGGTTTTTATTTATATGCATTGCTCACTCAACACACACACCATAGCTATCACATCCCAGGCATATGTTGTGAAACCACCTACACCTATCTCCTACACCAGTAAAGGTCACAGTTTCTTAACCCCAAGTGTATTTACTGTCTTTACAGTAGAAAATAAATATGACCCCACAGACTTCACTAAGCAGATTACTAACAAGCTCAGAAGGTATTTGAAAGGTATTATCCACTGAAGTATTCACCTTAAATTTGAATCCAGCCACCCAGATGACCACAGAGTTTCCTGTGATGCCGAGCACAACAGTCAGTGCATAGAGAATGATACTGACATTGTCCATAATGGCACTGATGCCCACCATAGTTTCCTGGTCATCTTTGGAAGGCTTGACTGTGTTGGTGGGCAGAGAGTCATTGGGAAACATGGTGTGGCTGAGAAAGAGAGAACAGGAAAACTGACAAAATGTTACTCATCCATGTATTTCCTCAATTAACTGACAGAGAGGAAGAAAAGATAATATTACTTTACTTGACTTAATTCTTGGACTCTGCTAGAGTAGCTGTGCATGATTCACAGTTTTTAAAAAGTCCTTGTTCATGATGATAGTTGCCCTCTTCCTTGGGTTCATCCTCGGTGTGGAACAAGTACATTTACCTTTTAGCTACCTTTCCTCTGATTGGCTGGTCCACACAAAAAGGTTTGGACAAGTGGGTGGGACTAAAGTACTTATATTCAGAGCTGCATGCATGAGGTGAACACATTTACATCCGGTCTCACTGACATCATACAAATACAAGAATGGATAAGCTTTCTGAAATAGAGTCAGACAGCCTATCCTATTCTTACAACTTGATCTCTATTGCCAACGTACAGAAAGTACTGTTTAAGAATTTAAACAGTCGGAAGCTTGTTTAGACAATTTCATATTGTGTTTGACATTTGACAGTTTTTAGTGTCTTCCTTTTTTAGAGTAAGCTGTTTGTTCACTTCCTGTAATTTTCTTAGGCATTGTTTTCTTTGTGAATTTCTTGCCGCAGATAATTTATTCAATTCACAAGGTTTAAAAGAAAGGTACAATTGGATATCATCTGCATACAGATGATAGGAAATGATAATAAGGCCTAATGGAAGGACATATAATGAGACAGACCAGAATGACTGCAGATTTACATTTTCTATTTTAAAAAAAAGGATATATGTGCACTCCTGTTGACTTTGATATATATTCAACATTCAATAGAAATGGTTGAATGGCTTAGTTGACTTTAAATATGTATTAGATAACTTCCATTATATGGAAAAAGGGGATTCAAAGAAAGCTTGTAGAATTTCCATCTTCACTTTTTTAGCACAGACAGGTACAACTAAAAATGGCTTGTCTATTTCAGAAGCTTTTCATATCTGCAGTAATGCAGTGGGTTTACATCACTGCATCTGATGCTTTGCATTGCACTTGGTGATGTAAAATTTGGATGGCACAGTTCGACCTTGGAAACACTTTCCACACCATCACAGTAGCAGGCAGGAATTCACTCCTTAGAGTGACACATTCTCTAACAATTGTTTGTAGATGCAGTCTGGAAGCCTTGGTGCTTGATTATATACACCTGTGGCCCTGAATGTCATTGGCACACCTTAATTCAACGATTTAGATGGTTGAGTGAATACTTTTTGCAATATAGTGTATGTAAGATCCTGCATATCATCCTACTTTGGACTTCTGGCCTCTTCTTTAAGGTTAAATAAAGTCCAACTTTATTAACTATGTTTAAGAAATAAAACTGTTATATGGGGATTTTAAATATCACATCATAGGTTCCTTTAGAATATTTTGTCACTTTTGACCTCTGATTTCAATTTTACATTTCACATCTGCTTTTCATTCAAGCTAATCCCAAAATGCATCGTTTTTACTGCACTGCAAACTCCTTGATGTGCGTTTAAAAAGAAGAAAACAAAACACAGTTTAATACTATTCCCCTCAAAGTACACACTGCCTTTGAGCTTGCTTCAGGAAAGGTATCTGAGTCAAAACTCAAAACATTGGATAAACTAACCCATGACCATGAAACCTTAATTCTATCATTAATGATGAAGAGTATATAAAGATAAAAGATCATAACTTCATGAGATTAGATAAAGATATATATTTATTATACATGGATTTATGATTTTGAGCACATTAAACCATCAAACAAAACTACAGGAAAGTGTCTCAAGATGTTAACAAAACATGATATAAAACAAGGTATGTTAAGGAAAGTGTTACGCCAAGAACTGAAAATTATTAGTCTTACCAGTGGAAACAAAAACAGCAGCTCTTCAAAAGAAAAGATCCGAGATAATGAGCACAAAGGCGGTTTCTGCTGTTCAGAGATGTAAAGCTGCAGCAGTCAAAGGAGAAATAAATATTGCACTGCAGGGACTGCACAGTTTTCTTCAACCACACACAGGAAAAGGAAGAAGAAAACCACCACTGTATTGTGGTTCTATGTTCAGCCACTCAAATTAAAGCTTACATTCACATCTGTCCACCAAACATGACTCTGCAGATTACGTCTTTGACCCTTAGAAGAAAAAAGACATATGGCCTTGTGTTGTTTTTGGTATGTATTCAACATTCATTAGAATTTGTTGCATAGATTAGCTAAATTTAGATAACCAGTTACTCGTTTCCATTATATGGAGGAAAAGGGTTTCAAAGAAAGCTTGTGGAATTCCCCTCTTCTCTTTTCTAACACAGAAAGGTGCAACTAAAAATGGTCTGTCTATTTCAGAGGTTTGGTTATACTTGCACTAATGCAGTGCAGGTTTGGGGAACTACTCTTTTGTTGCTAAAAATATTCCTTGGTGTGTGTGTGGTTGATGATTAATGGTTGATCAGCAGCTAAAGAAAGCAAATGACACCACCCATCCATCTTCTTCCACTTACCCAATTCAGAGTTGTGGGAAGCTGCAGCCTGTCCCCACTGCGATAGGACGAGAGGCAGGGTACACCCTGGCTGGTCTGTTGTGGGGCTAATTACAATCATTTGCACCAATATTCATTGCTATAGGCAATTTAGAATCACCATGACCTTTGGGAGAAAGACAGAATATACAGTCACAGGGACAATGTGGAAACTCCACACAGGAAAAACCTGGATTTGAACCTTGGACCTTCTTGCTGTGATTTAAGAATGACCAACAACCACACCGCTGTAGTGCAACTTAATGATTTGCTGTTTGAAAATTAACAAAAAGAAACTCTAATTCTTACAACTTGATCTCTATTGTATCATATGATATTTGACCTCTGACCTCTCCTTTAAGGTCAGTAGAATGATTTGATGGCTAAAGTGATAATGATCCTATACGAAGCTATTTAAATCAGTTTCTTACTGCCATTGTTGTAATAAACAAATATGCATATAGGGAAAGATACACTATATCATTCATCTGCCTTCAAACAAATAAAATATTTTGACCAGAAGCATATTTTGTGAGGTCAGACCAGAAGGCCTGGCTCTCAGTCTGCACTCATCCCAAAGGTGATCTGTTGGGTTGAGTCTGGACTCAGTTATGTCTTCCACACCAGACCTTGCTTAGTGCACAGTTGGAACAGGAAAAAGTCATCCCCAAACACTTCCCAGAAGTAGAATTATTTTTTCCAAGTGTGGTAGGACTTGACTTAAGCGGTCAAAGAAGTGCAGGAGACTGATGCTGTCCAGTGTAGCAAGTGATTTATTCACCATTTTGTGACCCAAACAATATTTACAAAGAAACTCAACTCTATAATTAACTCAGTTCAAATAAACATAACTGAACTTAAATCAACGGAAATTAAGGTCAAACTGCACACAGCTACACTGACCTGAACCTTTTCCTCGAAACACCTGAGTTCTTCTGCTTAAATAGTCCACTTAACCAAACAATTTCTCCTCTGGACTATTCCATTCAGTAGGTAGGTAAGATGAACATGATTATATTCAAACCTCTACTACTCCTCTTTACTGGCAACATAAACTCTGTGGTGTAATCAATACATATTACAACAATAAATCTATTTCTTATAAACCCTCTAAAATCAACTTTATTAAATTATAAGAGTTCTTCCCCTTCTGCACTTGGTCTCTTCCTGTGACCTCAGATGAACCCAGAAGCTATAAAGCAGGAAGTAAAACTACATTTCCTCCTTTTGTTTCTGGAAGACAGGTAGGTAAGGTAAGTTCTAAACAATACAAATTAACAGTTGAAATAAAGAACATGTTAACTTAACAAACTTGTAGGAATTGATTTAAACTAGTGATGGGCAGATGAAGCCCCATGAAGCACTGAAGCTTTTCATCCAATTGGTTCACCCCAACGCGAAGCTTCATGAAGCTTCATTTGCTCTAGCAGGACACCTACTGGACGTAAAAATAATAGCTGGCATGAATTTGAAGAGTGTGGCATTTTGCACACAGCCTGTAAATGTCAACAACAAAAGGAGTGTGTAAAACATGTATATTGTAGTGATGGCAGTATACTGTGTATATTTATAGTGGCAGTATGGGAAATGATTATTTGGAAATGCTTGAAATGGAAATGATCATTTACTGTGAGGTGAGGTGTGGTTGGGGTGTGGACAGTAGTTGTGCTTTTGTAACGTTGAGGTATGGACAGCTACACACTGAGGCTTTGAGCCTCAGTCCTGCCTGTTCACATTTTATTCTGTAAAAACTAAATTTTCACTGCTTTTATGACCTTTTTAGTGGGGAGAACATAGCTAGGATTTAATGATTTAACAAATCTTTTGAATCCTTTGTCCTCCACAATGCTAAATGGCTGGGAGTCCTCAATCACCATGCTGACCAGGTCTTCATCTATTTGAGATTGTTCTCCTGAGGAAAGACAATAAAGATAAAGCACAAATATAAATATCACACACGTAACTTATTACAGTTGTATAATATTGTTATATCATTTAGTAACATTACTGCATCCTATATTATCATTGCATTTGATGGCTCACCTGGTCTTGCTCCACAATCGGTGTCCCCCTTATTCTCATGCAAAGCTCTGTAGTGCCTAAGCATGGATGAGGTGTTGTTGTTATATCCCAGCTCCCTGGCACATAGCAAACACTTCACCTTGTACAAAAGTCAAGACAGCTCAACATAAATTGTATTGCACCATCAGTATCATGAAAATACATCTTCTGTAGAAATTTACATACCTTGTTGGGAGGAATAAGATCAAAATGTTCCCACACAGGGGAGGACATCCTCCTCTTCTTAGCTGGCTCCATTCTCTCCTGACTTTCTCTCCTCACTCTCATAAACCTCCAAACGGTCTCCAAACTCTCACTAACCGCAACTCTCCATCAAACACCCACATTTTTGAATGAAGTCTGAGGGGTTTATATCGCTGTCATATCTCGCGGCAAAGTTCGAACCACTTCATGAACCAGTCACGTGGTACAGCCGGGCAGCGAGGCTTCGGACGTCATCATTTTCAGCTCCTCCCATAAATGAAGCAAGCCTCGATACGCGCTTCGCGGAAACGCCCCCTCCATTACTCGACACACGCTCCGAAGCCTCGATACAGAACGTCCCATCACTAATTTAAACCAAGATGTTATATTATATAATCTGTAAAAGTGCAAAACATAGACAAACCCGGGATAGTAGATGTTTGCCTATTGCAGATTACATGTGAAATATGGTTAAAGCAAAACAAGAATGTTAACTAAGAATATAGACAAATGGTCTTCTCACCCACTTTGTCACACTAAGCACTTAATTGATTACGGAGAGAAGAAATGAATTTACTGGTTAACCGCTCACTGACAAGTGCAGTTCATTAGGTTTTCTAGGTTTACAGTGTTTTAGGAGGGTTTGTGGTTACAGTGTTATGTTTAACTTATGTGGTTAGCACATCTCAGATCGGGTTCACTTGAATATCTTCTGATCTGCCTGCACTTCTCTGCCTGTGGGGGCATGTCAGTAATAAATAACAGAATAAAAGAATGTTAACAATTTGGGGCATTTCAGAAAATCTAAATACCTGAAATACAATGAAGTGGAAACACTGCTTTGAAACTTTTTCCTGTGATTTTTACTGTTTAAAAGTGAAGCAATCTCTGTGTGCAGGTTTATGTGGTCTCTGGATTCAGTCTCTCAGACAGTTCAGAGAGGTTGTTAGGAGCTGTAAAATGCAAAACACACTGTTAGTCCTCTGATCCTGGACTGGATTTTATGTACAAAATAACCGAAAACAGTTGGTACTGTATGAATATAGTTTTTCTTCACAGACACCTCAGAGCAAAGAAAGAACTGAGTCTTGTATTATCACTTCCTTCCTGCTTTAGTGAACTGCTAGCTTCAGTTTTCTAGTCTTTGTAAAAACATCAGCTCACCTCCTTTAGAGCCCTCACATTTCTTCTTTTTGTAAACAACAAATCCAACTGCAGCAACGAGGATGAGAAGAACAAGAACAACCACAACAGCAGTGATGGTTATCTTCGTGTCAGCACGCCTTTCTGCTCAGTAAAACATGAGCAAAACATAATTAGATCATAATTTATATACAGTACATCCTTCCTCCTATGACACAGAGTATTTATGCAATACTGTAATCTCTATGGTGCTACATATATGTGAGTATGTGTGTCTGTAAAAGTATATGTATATAATATATATTTGCAAGTATGTAGTATTTACTGCATACTTCAAAGCAGGTCTGAAAAATGCTAATAATAGTTGTATAATTATAATATATAACAGTAATGTGAAATTGAAAAAGAGTGACATTCTCCCATCATCTGCCCAGGGATTTGTAAAAGGCACTTTTTGCTAAATGTAAATTTCAGGTTCGTTATCCACATATTTGGTGCTGCCTCTTTTGATCTATGAAGCCAGTAAAATGGCACAAATCTGAGTGTATAATAGCTAAGGGAGGGTGGCAGTTTTTTTCTTTGTATCTTATTAGGCCATCCCTGACTAACTTTTCCTCCAGTCAATAAACGGTAATGATATTTTTTTACTATTCTGAGAGCACAAAAACATCAGAGCACTGTGTTTCTCACTTTCATCATTGCTAATTTTATTTTACCCCAATTGGTCCTGATCGTTGATTTATTCAGTTTGGTGATGATGTTGTCCTCCACACCAGAGAACTGGAACACACAGCTGTAGCTCGTCCAGTCTTCAGATGGCACTGATGAAGCGTTCATGTTAACACTTAACTGGAAGGTCCCGTCATGGTTGTGGAGAATCT